CCAGCAGGCACTATAAAATCATTAGGTGATTTTGGTAGAAGGGCTGAAATGGACTGGTTGACATTCAGTCTTCTGTGAGTAAAACACTTGTATGAAGCCCTATAGTGTGTATAGCCAGGGACGTGTGACTCCTCTTGCTTCAGAAAATCTGTTCATTAATGACCAGTTTCTCAGCTGTTTGAAATTGAGCCCATGGAGCAAAAAAAAAACCTTCTTTAGCACTAGCCACATGTGAAAGAGGAAGTTTTTACAATCACATGCTTTTGAGTTACCCTTACTAAGAAAAGAATTCTTGAATGAGATTCATCTGCCCCAGTTTAGGCTTTTAAAAATTAGCCAGCTGAATTTCAGGTAATCTCACAAGGTTTTCTTTATAATTAAAGGAGAGAAATAGGCATCTCCAGAGGGCGATTCAGCTTTCCACTTTCCCTTATTTTAAAATGCTGTTTTGGAATGAAATGAATAGATCTCTGGAGGTGTCTGTTCCTCTCCACTGAGAAGGAACCTTAAGTTATTAGACCTATATGGCTACCTTTTAGATGCCTAAATTAGGGGAGAAGAATCCCATCTTTATTAATCTTTTCCTTTGGGAAATATTTTTTGCCATTGTGCATCATTCAAATGAAGAAAATTATTTTCTATTAACTTTTAAAGATAAAGTGCATTTTTTATAAACTACAGCCAAGAAAGTTTTAGTTTAAAATCAGACTTCTCCAGAAAGTTATGTCCAGGTGGAAATAGGAGTTTATTACTGAAAGAAATTTTGCAACCTTAACTTATAGAGTTTGACTATAATACACATGTAAGAACAAATTATGTTTTGTTGCCAAGACAACAAAAGTAAAAAGCAGGGAAACTAATGGAAGCAATTTACAGCTCTGTGGGACAGCCAGAGATACAATAACATACTTCATTTCTTAGAGAAGAAAACAATATGATCTATCAAAGTTCTTATTTTATTGCAAGAAAAGGCACAGCACATGACAATAAGGAAAATCACATTTCGAATAACCCAAAGTAAGGTTTATTTAATAGTCCATCAGGTGAGTATGAGGAAGCATATATATCTCAATCTAAGAATGCCATCTCACTCACCCCTACCTATCCCATCCCATACTAGGGGGAAAAAATGCTCAGTTTTGTTATTCATAGAATCATAGAATCATAGAATCGTTTAGGTTGGAAAAGACCTTTAAGATCATCCAGTCCAACCATTAACCTACACTACCAAGCCCACCTAAACCAATCAAGGGCAGACTAGACTAAACCATATCCCGAAGTGCCACATCTACCCGTTTTTTGAACACTTCCAGGGATGGTGACTCCACCACCTCTCTGGGCAGCCTGTTCCAATGCTTGACCACCCTTTCTGTGAAGAAATTTTTCCTAATTTCCAGTCTAAACCTCCCCTGGCGCAGCTTGAGCCCATTTCCTCTCGTATTGTTATTATTGTTGTTGTTGCAGTGGAATCCCTGTTATTCTATTCTTTCTTCTTCCAAACAGTTTAATCTTGTTTCCATAAACATTTAAAAATTGTACCAAAGACAATGTGATCCAACATTTTTATCGCACAGCTACTCTGCAGAAGATTATAGAGCCTATAGGCCTAGAACACAATGAAAAGAATGCACGCCTATCTCTGAGAAAAGATTAAACACTTTTCTTAAAAACTTATGGCCAAATTGTGGCCTCTGATTTTAGAACAAATTTGCTATTACATATAGAAAGAATTACAGGTCAAATGGGAGAGTCTGTCTTCCAATAGTTTTCATAATGTCAGCCAAATTTTTATAAGATGGCAAAAGTGGCAAAAATGTAGTTTGAAAATTTTCTTTACAAATGTTGCAGCAGCATCTAAAAACTTGACCTTCAGTAATCTTGACCGGGTCATAAGGCACAACCCAGAGTAATGCAGTAGAATCTATCATTGGAAACTATGGGTTTTTCTGCCATTCACCTCAAATTTCCTCGCAGAGGCGATCAGCTCCAGTGCAGGCATGTTCCGCTGTGGAGCGGGGGATCACAGTGCACAGGGGAGTTTCCTGAGCCAGGGAAACCCTAGGCGAGTGCAGAGACCAACCAGGAGCCAGGCAGCGCTGTGACCAGGGTGGGTAAACAGCAGGTGGTACATCAGCTAGGGCATGGTGTGTCAGTTTGAGTGGGAGGGTGCACAGGGAGGATGCCTCTTTGAAGGAGGGGCATTCCACTGGCCGAGTGGGAGATTTGAAGTACACATAACTCAGCAACAGGGCACCATTCTCTGATCATCCACACAGGTCAAGGGCACTCATCCTACTTGACCCTCAAAGCAGAATGGTGGGCACTCATCTGACAGCAAAGGCTGCTGCTCCGGCTGGGGGGTCTGCACCATCTGCCCCAGCGGTGGCCAATGCCTCCATCCAGATGGAGCTGCTGAAAGGAGGGGCTGCAGTGCACACCTCAGACTGCAGGAAGTGTCTAGACCTTTCTCCTGGGACAAGGACAAGCAGCAGACCTGCCTGCAAAAGCTGTGCCCAGGTGGGGGTCCTCCTGCAGGAGGTGGCTGAGCTGCAGGAGGTGGTGAGAAGGCTACGTAACATCAGGGAGGCTGAGAAGGAGTTAGATAGCTGGTTCCAAGCGCAGCCTGCAGTGAACACACTGCCCAAGGCCAAACAGCCAAAAATTCCTCCACTGGCACACACAGAAGTGAGGCGGGGGCAATAATCTTAAAGGTCTTTTCCAACCTAAACAATTCTATGATTCTATGATTTTGTGAATGCAGGAGAATGGATGGTTGCAACAGCAAGGACCAGCAGGAGGAAGAGACTTCCCCCGAAGCCTGAGATGCCCTTGCAGAACCTCTTCACCTCTCTGCACACTAAAGAGGAAAGACCTGTCACACCAGGAGAGATGCTGGAGCTGAGAAAGGCAGCCTGATTTGCTTCCCGTATGACCACCAGTGTAACTAAGAAAAGGTGACAGGTGATAGTGGTAGGAAACTCTCTTCTGAGAAGTACAGATGCACCCATTTGCTGACCTGATGCACTCTTTAGAGAGGTGTGCTGCTTACTGAGGGCTCGTATCAGGGATGTCACCAAGAGACTACCAAGCCTCGTACAGTCCACTGACTATTATCCACTGCTGCTGTTTCACGTGGGCACGAGTGATACAGCCAGGAGCTGTCTGAGGAGTATCAAGAAGGATTACAAAGCCATGGGAGCAGCAGTGAGAGACTGCAGTGCATGTAATTTTTTCATTAATCCTCCTGGTCAAAGGAAAGGGGTTTGAAAGGGCCAGCCAAATCTGGCAAATCAACAAATTTTTACAGGACTGGTGCCACAGCCAGGGGTTCGACTACTTAGACCATGGGACTTGCTTTGAGAAACCTCTTCTGCTGGGGGCTGATGGGGTCCATCAGAGAGAGAAGGGGAGAGAAGGGGAAGAGCATCTTCAGTCATAGGCTTACCAAACTGGTGAAGAGGGCTTTAAAATAAAATTGCTGGGGGAGGGGAACCTCAATCCATCTCACTCCTACCAGTTTGATGCCAGTGCCAGCAATAAATGCCCAGAGCCTGGAGAAGGTTCACAGGTCAGCAGGAGAGCACCTGAAGAGCAGCACAAAGAAATTCCAGCCACTCAAGCCAGTAAGCCAGCTTCATCTGAGGCCCAACTTAAATGCCTCTATGCAAACGCACGTAGCATGGTGAATAAACAAGAGGAGTTAGAGATGTGCACATGCCTGCAGGGCCGTGATCTTAGTGGCATCACAGAGACATGGTGGGATGGTTGCTATGACTGGAGTGTTGGAATGTAAGGATACAGGCTCTTTAGGAAGGACAGGCAGGGGAGATGAGGAGGGGGTGTCGCCCTCTATGTCAATGACCAGCTGGAGTGCATGGAGCTCTGCCTGGGGATGAATGAGGAGCTGACTGAGAACTTATGGGTCAGGACTAAAGGAAGGCAGGTGACATTACAGTGGGGGCCTGCTACAGGCCACCCAACCAGGAAGACTGAGCGGAATAGACCCTCTATAGACAGATAGGAGCACCCCCACGTTCACAAGCCTTGGCCCTCATGGGGAACTTCCACCACCCTGCTGTCTGTTGGAGGGACAACACAGCAGGGCATAAGCTGATGTCTGTTGGAGGGACAACACAGCAGGGCATAAGCAATCCAGGAGGTTCCTGGAATACTTTGACAATAACTTCCTTCTCCAAGTGACAGAGGAGCCAAAAAGGAGAGGTGTTATACTGGGCCTTGTTCTCACCAACAAGGAGGGGCTGGTGGGCAATATGAAGCTCAAGGGCAGCCTTGGCTGCAGTGACCATGAAATGGTGGAATTCAAGATGCTTAGGGCACCGTGGAGGACACACAGCAAGCTCACTATCCTGGACTTCAGGAGAGCAGACTTTGGTCCCTGCAGGGATCTGCGTGGTAGAGTACCACAGGATAAAGCCCTGGAGGGATGAGGGGCCCAAGAAAGCCGGTCAGTATTCAAGGATCACCTCCTCCAAACTCAGGACTGATGCATCCCAACAAAGAGGAAGTCAGGCAAAAACACCAGGAGGCCTGCATGGATGAACAAGGAGCTCCTGAACAAACTCAAACACAAAAAGGAAGCCTACAAAGGGTGGCAGCAAGGACAGGTAGCCTGGGAGGAATACAGAGAAATTGTCTGAGCAGCCAGGGATCAGGTTAGGAAAGGTAAAGTCCTGACAGAATTAAATCTGGTCAGGGATGTCAAGGGCAACAAGAAAAGCTCCTAAAGGTACATCAGTGATAAAAGGAACACTAGGGAAAATGTTTCCAGAAGGAAACAAGAGACCTGGTTACCTGGGATATGGAGAAGGTTGAGGTACTCAATAACTTTTTTGCCCACTCAGTGGATAAGGAATCAGCTGGATGGTGGCACTCAAAGAGCTGTGGTCAACAGCTCAATGTCCGAGTGGAGACCAGTGACGAGTGGTGTTCCTCAGGGGTCAGTATTGGGACCGGCGCTGTTTAACATCTTTGTCGGTGACATGGACAGTAGTACTGAGTGCACCCTCAGCAAGTTTGCCAACACCACCCAGCTGTGTGGTGCGGTCAACACACTGAGGGAAGGGATGTCATCCAAAGGGACCTTGACAGGCTTGAGAGGTATGCCCGTGAGAACCTCATGAAATTCAACAAGGCCAAGTACAAGGTCCTGCACCTGGGACGGGGCAATCCCAAGCACAAATACAGGCTGAGTGGAAAATGGATTGAGAGGAGCCCTGAGGAGAAGGACCAGGGGGTGTTGGTTGATGAGAAGCTCAACATGACCCGGCAATGTACTGTTGCAGCCCAGAAAGCCCGCTGTATCCTGGGCTGCATCAAAAGAAGCACGACCAGCAGGTCGAGGGAGGTGATTCTCCCCCTCTGCTCTGCTCTCATGAGACCCCACCTAGAGCATTGCATTCATCTCTCAGGCCCTCAACATGAGAAGGACATGGACCTGTTGGAGTGAGTCCAGAGGAGGGTCACGAAGACGATCAGAGGGCTGGAGCACCTCTCTTATGAAGACAGGCTGAGAGAGCCTGGAGAAGAGAAGTGTCTGGCGAGACCTTATAGCAACCTTCCAGTACCTGAAGGGGGCCTACAAGAAAGCTGGAAAGGGATTTTTTTACAAGGGCATGTAGTGATAAGACAAGCAGTAATGGCTTTAAACTGAAAGAGAGTAGATTTAGATGAGATATAAGGAAGGAATTCTTCACTTTGAGGGTGGTGAGGCACTGGAACAGGTTGCCCAGAAAAGTTATGGATGCCCCATCCTTGGAAGTGTTCAAGGCCAGGTTGGATGGGGCTTTGAGCAACTTGGTCTAGTGGAAGGCATCCCTGCCCATGGCAGGGGGGTTGGAACTAGATGATCTTTAAGGTCCCTTCCAACCCAAACCATTCTATGATTCTATGATGATTCTATGATAAAATACAACATATCAAAACCAGCAGCAATAAAAAAGTAGCACTGAGTCCATACATTTCCTGAGAGCTGACAATACATTTGCTTGACCATGTGAAAAAAAGAAGTAAATGAAGAAAGCAAATTTAAAGCTACTATACGACTGCAGAAGTAACAAACTGGGTTTCAGATATTTGTGGGTTTTTTGGAGGGATTGTGATTTTATGGTTTTTACATCTCCAGTGACGTAATATCTCATTGCCATTTTGTGACTGAAAACTACGTCATAACTAAGTCCATATGAAGATGTCTACTGTTCACTTATAAAATCTCTGAACATTAGGTCACCTGAAATAAATCTGTTTAAACCTCAGAAGTAAAAAGATAGCAAAGATGATATTATAGAAAATTCAAATGCTGTTTCCATCCCATGGAGTTCAGAATTACATTACACACAGAATATAATTAACTCTACTGTATTCTGTTCTAAATAGCAGGTTAAGAGAGTAGAATTTGTCTATTAACATAAACAGAATTAGAGCAATGACATGTACTATGTTAACTAAAACATCAGCAGAAATTGAGTTACAGGGAAAATGAGGATGTAGGCAAAATGCATAGTCTTATATCTAGGGAGTGATTTGAACTATAATTAAAATCACAAACTAGGAATTAATACAGCAGTCTGGAAGATGATGGAGATTTTCAAATCACTGATTAATATTGGAAGCTGCAGGAGAAGCAGAGAATGAAAAATTATCTCTCTGTAAAGAATAATATGTCACCTGGGCTACACAATTCCCAGGCCTTAAAAAGTAGGAGATCAAAAGACAGAATGAGAATGTGACATCCTAATGGCGGGATTAATCTCAGTTAACTTAGTCATCTAAAATCTAGGCTGCTCTACTAAGCTAATTATCAAGGCTCCTGCTAGTGCTCACTGAAAAGGCAGGTTACTCAGAGGGCTGATCACCCTGTATTGTTATACCGGGGTGAATTACCCAGATGAAGTTTATCTTTCTTTCCAACTGCATATGGAGGGAGCCTGGACATCCCTGTGAATGTACACTTCTGCCTTTTAAATAGCTAATATTTATTTCAGCTAATCCCAAACAAAGTAAAAAAAAAATCTTGTGTGCAAGGAATACCTTTTTTTTCAAATATTTAGTCTTAATCTGTGCACAAAATAGTGTTCAGCAGATGTAGTATCTGAGACGCTTCTAGTGAAACAAACGCTGTGAATCCACACCAAAACTTTAAATGAATTCCACAATGAAACTGAAGAGAATATTTGTCAAAAGAAGTAAAAAACTTGCCCCTCAGAAAAAATATGGAGGAATATTTTTATAAATAGACACTGCAATAAAGAAAACAGTATGTAACCAACAAATAATGATGGTCAGAAAGGCTGGCTATTGAAACTTCTTATCTCATTACTGCTGAGCAATAGGGAGTGATCGAAAGGCTATATTTATACCATCTAACATCACGTTAGTGAGAGGAAAGTGGAAATATTTCCAGGAAGCATTTGCACTCATTTATACAAATTCAAAATCACAGATTTGTGCTTGTTGTTCAAGGTCTGTAAAATCCACAGCAGGAACAAACATTCAGACTTAATTTGTTTATTAAAAGAATAACATAACTTCCTTGTATCTTCTGGGGTATTTTGCATGAAAGCAATATTTTGAAAGAGTAATTTTTTTTTATTCAGGTAATATAAAACACAGTAGTTCTTGTAAAGTGCAGTTAATCCCTGTCCAATCTGTGCCATTCAGCCCAGGACTGAAATTACCTTTGCCCTGTGAAGGAAGAGCATTTGTCCCTAAGAGAGGTTTTGAGGACTATTTCCTGTCATGCAATAATTCATATTCTGGTATTAATAGAATTTCTGGCAAATGTCTAAGCTCTTGTTAAGCTCATGTAACAATAATACCACATCAGAATGGCCTGTTGTGAACTATCACCTTAGTCGTGTGTAGTGTGGCATTAACACAGGTATGCATCTTTCACTCACATAGTGCTGGAGGTCATACAAATGCCTAGGTGTTTTTGCATGTGACTGTTATCCACCTCACATCTCAGAAGTCCAAGCAGTAGAAAAATGTTTCATGATGTAAATCTCTTTACAAGGAGTTGGAAGTATAAGCTGAAAGATTATTTAGTCTTCTTTCTTTCATAAACATGGCTGCTTGAAGGCGCTGTTAAAGAAGGTGCAGTCTGACAGCCAGAGACTATGTTAAAAGTAGTTTTCTTTTCAAATACAAATACCTAATAGCATCCACTCTTCCATTTCCCCCATAAAATTTCTCTTTTGCAATACTGAGGGCTTCTCTCTTGATATGCTGCATCCTGCCAGGCTGTGAACAGACAGACATACGCTGAGGTAGCCCCCATCCTAGGAAACCCTGTCACAGCTGACAAAATGCTGCACCATATTGCCAGTCATAAAATGTAGGATTTAAAATGACCAGATGTAAGTGTGGTATTTCAATCTCAATATTGTATGTTTACTCTATTCTCAGATGTAAGGCTTCATCCAAAACATATTAAAGTCATTAAGAATCTTTCATTTGGCCTCAGTGAGCAGTGAATCAGACCTCCAAAAGCAAATAAGTTGCTTTTTGATACTGTCTTCTTGCTTTTACAGTAGCCAAATGGAACCAGAGCTTACTCATCTTTACCATACTCTGAGGTCCAATCATGCAGTGTTTACTCAAATTGAAATCCCAATGAAAACAGTGTGGATTTTTTTTCTGCCTCTCAAGTGTATGATAACAGGTCAACAGAGAAGCCAGAAAAATTCAGCAACTCTCTAGTAAGCTTATTAAAAAATAGGATGTCCTAATTAAGGATGGAATAGGCCCCTCTGTGAAATCTTCTGCCAGCAGTGAAAAGAACAATAATACAATAGTGTCTTTTCACAGTTAGGCTCAATCTGTGACATACAGTAACTGACTAATGATCTAGTTTCTGTTAAAGGTGTAGACCAGATATTCAGCTAAGGTAGACTGATCTACATCCTTTTGTTCAACAAACCTATATCCACTTATATCAGTTGGAATCTGACCCATTTTTTGTGATGTCGCCATTGCCCACATGTTCCTAATTTGTCTAACAAGCCACACAGCTTTGCTCAGTCAGTAAAATATGAAATCCTTCTGCTCTTTTGCCACTGCTTCTCTAAACAAACACGGTGTCAGCAAGGAAAAGTGTGCTGGTGCTGACTTTTTATTTTTATTTTTTCTATATGCATGAACTATAAAAGAAACAAACAATAGATACAAAAGAATCATATGCTCTTTTTCTAAGGAATGCACCACATCAAAAGATTAGAAATCATATTATGTGCTGACTGCAGAGAAATCTGAAGTTATTAGCTTCTGCAGAGATGAGGCTTTGGTTTTTTATGGTTGTTTGTTTTGATTTCTTCCTTCTGGTTTCTTTCCCCTAGTTTACGTTAGTAGAAATGTAGAACATAAAATGCTTAAAAGAAGACATATCTAAACAGAGCAAGGCAATACACTGACTAATGAGCATCTCACTAAGTACATCTATATGAAAGAATAATTTTGAAACTCTTCATTCTCTAAACATGTTCATTATATTCACTTTAGACCATGTAATTGTATGGCAAATTGAATCACACTAGTGAGATGAAGGCAACTTATGAAAGATCATTATTGTTTTATTATTCTTGTTACAGAATTTAACTTAATTTGAAATCTGCATTATTGCCCTGACAATGCAAAGCACTGAAATCTTATTCTGGGTACATTATATACCATTTGATAAGCACATCTAAGCGTGTGTGCTTATATATCATTCATTCCATAACAATAATTTTATTTTACCAACTAAATGCCCTTAGATACTGCTGGGTTTTGTTTTGTTTTGTTTTCCTGGACAGAATAGTCTATATTTAATATCTAATTGTATTTTCACTGTCCTCACTAAACTTTTCAGTAAACCCTCAACAAATTTAGGGAATTCTATGACAGTAAAAAGAATATTTTTACATTCCCATATCTGTTAGCCAGATGTACAAAGTATTTCTCTAACACTGAAATAATTATACTCTCAAATTTAGAACTATTTTTTCCTTAAAAAAGAACTATTCATTATTTCCCTATATACACTTTACTCAATATGGCAAATTAATATGATTTCGCAATTCATTTACACTGGTGTATATCAGAGGTAGACCCAATAAAATGTG